CCAAAAATGCCGGTGTCCTAGAAAGTAGAAGTGAAGTTCCAGAGAGGTCAGACGGTGACAAATAAAACTGAAGTGTTCTCCATCACTTTAAGACAAATCCTGATGGGAGATTAAAAACAAGTTCAGCCCTGGCCCTCCCTGCCCACCCCCCCACCCCGATGCTTTTATCTTCCACAGTACAAATAAATATGTTCTCAAACACTGGTTAACTGCCTGTTTCAGGAGACGATGCAGGATTAGTTTTCTCCAAGGCACTAAGGACACGCAGGATTAGTTTTCTCCAAGGCACTAAGGACAGACAAAAGCCTCAAACAATGCTCCTCGAAAAACCCCAGCCCTCACAGCATGAACAGCCAGTGTCACCCCGAAACTGATACGTGGTAGGAAGAGATCAGGTGGTGATACGTACTAATTTGGGCTGGAAGCTTCTGAAGAGCGGAGGGTGTGAGCCCGCTGAAGGGAGACGCAGAAGTCAGTGAAATAAAAAAGGTTCATGATAGCCTGGTTCACATCTTCGACTGCCTCCAGCTCCTGCCTTGCACTCCCTCCGGAGAAAGGAGAGAGGGAAGGAAGGGGCCAGGAGTCCTTGGGCAGGAGTTCTCCTCCGGATGATGTTCCCACCCAGGGGGCAGATGGCTCTTGTGGGACTCTTGTCTTCCCCTGATATTTGGGTTTAAAAAGGCCCTTGTCCCTGCATATCCTGATGAAAGAGGGCCATTCAGAGAGCGCAAAACAGCTGAAGTTCCTGTAATCACTTTCCTCCTACGGCTTTTGTAGGCCTTAGGAACAAGCCGCAGGGTGTGTGTTCGGAATTGTGAGGGGAAACAGCTGGCCGCCAAGTAACAAATCCAGAGCAGCGAGGACCCCTGCTCTGCTCGAAATCGACAGGCTGAGGGACTCCCGTTTCTGTCACATCGCCACCCATTCACCCAACGGTGACCCGTGGGCAGCCGCCACAGTCAGTCCATGTGGTCACAGCGTCTTACATTCTGAAAATTCTTCAGTCATGCTAACTGCTGCCTGAGGAGGCAAACAGAGGGCTGAGGGGGGAGCATCCAGGTAGAGGGAACCCCGCGTGCACACACAGGCGTTGCTCAGAGAACCGCAGGCCCGGTGCCCAGGGCAGGGCTGCAGAGGTAAAGCAGGCCCAGGTCCCCAAGGGCCTGGCACGGGACCCCGAAACCCGAAACCCGCCCGCAGGAGCCAGCGGGCTCTGTGTGTTTAGCACTTCTTTTGGCCCGTGAAATAAATTAAGGACACGAATAGCCACACTGCAGGGCAGAAGGGGATAAGCGCCCAAAGACAGGGGTCCTGCTGGTGTTCGAAGAGGGGAGAGGGGAGCCCCTAACTGGTGCTTTGGAACACTCCTGGGGAGGCCTTGTCTGGAAGCTTCCCCTGGCTCCCAGAGGATAAATTAATCGTCATGAGAGAATTAAGTGGGACACACACAATTATGCCGCAGTGGAGGAAACTACGGCCTGCCCAGGGGCATGACATCTTTACGAGTTGGGACTAGACCCCAAGCCCACAGTCGTAAGTCCTGTGGTGCCCGTGGTCGCCCGCCAGTTCTGAGTGAGAATCAGAGCCATTAGCCTGATATCACCTCTGCCCTGGCGGCTTTGGTTCCGCTAAAGCACACATCACAGAAATCAAGATCTGGTCCGTAGCAATTCTTCCCAGCAGGTGAAAGCTTTGTGCGAAGGAAACAGACAGAAGGTATAATTCAGGGAAACGGGGTCCAGGAGGAGACTCAGGGCCAGAGCTCTCCTACCGGGCCTGGGGGCAAGCAGAAGGCCGAGGGGGGCCACTGCAATCACCCTGCCTGCTGCCACCCACCATCGCCCGGCTGTGGGGTGGGGCACAGTGCCTGGTCCTTGTGGGCTGAATGGGAATCCGGACAAGGAGCTCTGCGCGCAGCACAGCCCCGCCGGTCGAGAAGCGGCTTTCAGCGCAGGCTTCTTATCAATAGTACTGTCATTTGCTGAGCGCCACCACGTGTGCGTGGCTCCCAGAGCTCTGCAGGGCACGCGTCACCTTTTTCAAACGACAAGTGAAGGTAGTCAGACAAACTCCTCAAATACAGCCTCCGGGGACAATCTCATTTTTAACCAACCCCCTTAGTGATGCTGGGGCACATGGGGGTTAAAGAACAGAAAATGTACTGGTCTGGGGATCCATATTTCAGGGTTCTAGTCCTGTTCTACTGTATGTTTGTTCTGCTGGTCACTTACAGGGCTCTGTTCATTCATTCAAATGGCCAAATATTCGCAGACTGAGGAGTACAATGTAAAGCCAAGCCTGCCCTAATGTCGATAAAGGCAGAGATAACACTCCTTTTTAAGGAGCAGGTGTTTGTGTGGGTGGTTCGGGTGTGTGCTAAGCCACTCGGAACAACTCCTTGAAAAACGGAAATAGGAGGGATAGAAACCCCACATCACAGCCATATTATGCTACTGCCCCTGGTTTCCAACTCTGGCTACACATCTGAACAACCTACAGAACTTCCAAAACACAGTCATGCCCGGGTCCAGCCTCAGCTGATTCTCACTCGAAATGTCTGCCATAAGTCCAGGCATCTGCTTTTCAAAAAAGTTCCGGGAGAGGGGGCGCCTGGGTGGCTCAGTTGATTGAGCGTCTGACTTGGGCTTGGGTCACGATCTCACAGTTCACGGGCTCAAGCCCTGCATCGGGTTCTCTGTGGTCAGCGTGCAGCCTGCTTTGGATCCTCTGTCCCTCTCTCTCTGCCTCTCCCCCGCTTGCCTGTGTGCATGCACTCTCTCTCTCCTTTTCAAAAATAAACATAGACATTTTCAAAAAATTAAAAAATAAAATAAAGTAAATTAAAAGTTCCAGGAGTACTTCTGATGCAGAGCCAGAACCCTGGACTTTAACAGTAACAGAAAACACAGAGAAGAGAGCCTTCCCACACAGGATTGCTAACAGTACCTTACACACTGCAGGTACATGATAAATGTTTTCTGCTGGTAAAAAATAACACCAATAAAAATGCATGGTCCTCTCAGGAAAGTAACATGACTCAGTGCCATGAGGAGAGGTCACACCAGGTCAAAGAAAAGAATACCCTCCTTGGAAGCAGCCAAACAAGTGACAAAGAAATGCACGTGCCGGTCTTCTACCAAATACGTTCAGTGACAGCGTCCTGGCTTTCGAAACGCGGCCCTGCGTCACGATATGAAATAACAATTAACAGAAAGACCAGCCCTGTGATCAGCTCTGCTGTGGACAAAGCATTCTGACTAACGTCAGTCACTTGATCTTCAAGAAACTCTTCGAGGGAGACCAGGCAGGCATTCTGACACTCTTCTTCCAGACGAGAACACAGAAGGTTACTTAACTGGTAGGATTTTAGTATTTCCGACGCTACATCTTGCACAAAATCAGAGAATCAGAGCCTAAAACATAGGCTCTGGAAAGAGTCCCACATTGATCGAACTGGCTGAAATGAAATGAACTACTTGGACAGGGATATCAACCCTCAGCTCTGTATGGTGATGGCTGAGCGGACTGTGGTTTGTCTAGCAGACGTGATGACAATTCTAGAAAAAGAAAAAAAAGGAATGAATGTAAAGTTGTCACCACAGAAAAGGTGGGCGCCAATGAACACTCCCAAGAGGAGTTTCCGTTAATTCCATTTCGATGAACGAATATTTGCTGTGCCTGGGCAGTGCTAAATCCTGGGAATCCAGAAATGAAACAGACACGGTTCCTGCCTCCGAGCGACATTACATTCCAGGGGGTCAGACACACACAGGACAGTCACCGCAACGTGATGCAGCGGGTTCCACAGTAGAGGGATGTATAGGGTCCTGTGTGTGCATACACATACGCACACATGGATGTACATGGCAGGAGGGACCCCCAGCCCAGCCTGGGGGGTTCAAGGACATCTCCCTGGAGGAAACGAGACCTGGTTGGGCCTCGTAGAATCGGTAAACACGGAAAAGAGGAGCAGGCAGCAGGAGAGTAGGAAGATTACGTTATACATGCCCCATAACGAACAGAGGAAGATTTGGTCTCTTGTAAAAGACCCTACTGTGAATTCATAAATGTCTATTCTGGTTTATAGGTCAGTTCCTTGTAACTTTGGTTTGCATAAGTTGGTTTCGCAGAACTTGACCATCCCTGAGCATACTAATAAATTCAAGCTTCAGAAATTGCAGTTAAGAACCAAACGTTGGGCCTAAAGTTGAGCCATCAACCCGTCAATGAGTTCTCGGTACCTGAATGCTTATGGGTAAGCCCATGGCACTCAATGTGTATTATTTTATTTATTTATTTTTTTTTAAATTTTTTTTTCAACGTTTATTTATTTTTGGGACAGAGAGAGACAGAGCATGAACGGGGGAGGGGCAGAGAGAGAGGGAGACACAGAATCGGAAACAGGCTCCAGGCTCTGAGCCATCAGCCCAGAGCCTGACGCGGGGCTCAAACTCACGGACCGCGAGATCGTGACCTGGCTGAAGTCGGACGCTTAACCGACTGCGCCACCCAGGCGCCCCAATGTGTGTTATTTTAAATAAATAAATGATACCTTCGACCTGAATGGTGCTCTACAGTTTTCAGAAAGGCAGCCCTGCGTCACGAGATGAAATAACAATTAACAGAAAAGACAGATCAGCCCTGTGATCAGCTGTGCTGTGGACAAAGCACTCTGACTAATGTCAGTTACTTGAGCTTCATGAAACTCTTCGAGGGAGACCAGGCAGGCATTCTGACACTCCTCTTCCAGACGAGAACACAGAAGGTTACCTAACTGGCAAGAAACCCTTGCCCCTCCGTTTTTTCACTTAACCTTAAAATTTAAATCTTCTGATGGAAGAATCAAGACAGAGAAGAGGAATGACTTGTCTGTGGCCACACGTCGAAGAAGGGGCAGAACTGAGCCGAGAGGCTCCAAGTTCGGCACCCTCCCTGCCGGACGCCTGCCTCGGAGGGCAGGGGTGCCCGACCTGCGGCGCCGGAAGCGGTGGGCAAAGCTGGACGGACACAGATCTGCCTGAAAACCTCTGCTGGCGGTGGTCTGGACGGACACAGACCCTCTTCCCGGCAAAGCCAAGTGTATGAAGACGGAAGGACGGAAAACTTACTATCCGCTCTTCCCCCATTTTGAACTCGTGTTTGAAGGTCACCCCAAAGTTGTGCCGAGGCCTCGTTGTTTTCCCTTTGCGCTCCGCAGCGCAGCTTGGCAGGGCCTCGGCCCCAAACAGCATTCTTCAGTGGCTCACCTGCCACACGTACCCGCGAGAGCTCTGAAACCGCTCTCCTCCACAGAATGCTGAGGACAGGGAAATTCCAGCTCGGGGGCGGTCTACTGAGGGAATGGGGTCATGGGCAAGAGGTGCCGGCAGGGCCCAGGACAAACGTCTCTGCTGCCGAGGCCTGTATTGTTTGGCTGGAAGGCGTGGGCTTTTCTCAGAGAGAAGGAATGTCCGAAAGCATTTCAGACAGCAAGAGACATTCTCTGAGGCCAGCTACACAGCTCTCCTTCATGTCAACGGGTAGGAGCGAGCGGCTCCTGCCAGCAATACACCAGCAAGTTCGCAAAAGCAGGATTATTTCCCCCCGCGACCCCTCCCCTTCTCCAGTGTAAGAAAGACTGCAAATGATGCGCCTGGAGTTGGCTCTACAGACCTCAGGATGGGTCCCTCACGGCCCCCCGAGAGCCCTCAGGCCCCGCCCATGGAAGCTCGAGCTGGTGCTATCTTACCCTGTACATCTGGGATACCGGGCCCTAAGCCCCCTTAGGAGGGCAGAAGATACAAAGGCTGCATTGTGCTGGAAATGCAGTGGCAGCAAAGACAACCTAGCCAGCCAGAAATAACAGGCACCCGGAGGAAATGTTTTTGAAACAACGCAAAAATTCCAAGGACAGATTATCTCAACTGTCCCAGGTCCTTTGCCCTTTCTTTTCGGTACGCAGTCCTGTCCCACGTTCATGGGTTGCTGGGTCCCAACCCTTCCGGAGGTCCCTTCTTCCCCAGTTCCTCAGTTACCACTGCAGTTCTGGCCCCCTGCGTCCCCGCCGAGCCACACAACATCCGCTGGGGCCCCACTGCATGCCTGACTCTACGCTAGGTACTCAGAGTGTCCCTGCCAGAGAACAGACGTGCTCTCTACCCGCACGAGGGAGGCCACCAGCCGTAGGCACCTTCTGAACACTTGAAACGTGGGGAGGGTGACTGACGTACTGAGATCTGTCATTTTATTAATTCCAATTGAATTCAAGTTTAATCAGCCACATGTGGTTGGTGGCTATGGTGGAGGGCAGCACAGCTTCAGAAGCTCTCCATCTACTGGGAATCAGGGCAGGGACCTCTGGCTTCTAATCCACTGCACAGATCCCAACCACAGCTCTTATTATGTCATTCCCGGCTCCAGAACTTTCAGTGATGTGACATTATCTGTAGAGTCCCAACAGGCTGGTGCTAGCTTTCTATGGTAGCCACAATTAGCCATTACATGTTGCTAACCTCAGCTTCATTCATCTGACGCTCTTTGACCTCGAGGAGCTCACAAAACAAGTAGGAAAAGGGTTTATAATAAAAACCTTCTTTGTATTACCTCGTACACGATTTCTCCCACACTCCACATATTCTCTGTTTTCTCTCTATGCGGTCTTCCTCAACTCTTCTACCCTGGCCTCTGTTCGCGGCCTTCTCTCTCTCCTGTCTGCTTCCCTACCTCGTGCCCACTTGCTAGAATCCACACCTTCTCCAGGAAGCCCTCCTTCGCTGCCCCGGCTGCGAAAAGCCCTG